AAGAGCTGGCAATGTCATCCTGGCCGTTCTTTACCTCCCTATATCATCTACATCCTGGGCCCCTCCTCCTGTTTGGGAAGGTCATCTTGTCATTTGAACTTCATGTTCTCATCCTCATGGTTTTTTCTCAGATGTCACTTCAAACTCTTCTTTTTTCTTTTCTTAGAGTTCCTTAACTGTCTGTTTTTATCACAGTTGGATTTCTGACTCATTATCTCTTCTTCTCAAGAATTTATTTTTCTTTTGCATGATCTCCAACTCCTTAGGCAAGATCTTTTTTTTACCTTCAAGTCCTGTCCAGTTGTCCACTATCCCAATGTCTACTAAGTCACTTAAATCTCCCATAGGGATCTTGAACTTGAGGTTACAGAGTAAACTCATGTCCTGTTCAGACTTGCTCCTTCTCCTGCCTTCCCAATGCAAGACTTCTCACTGACTTCTAAGACAGAAACTTTGAAGTCATCTTTATTCCTTCTTCCTCACTTCTTACACCCAATAAATGTCCTAGTCTTCTTTATTCCAATTCTTAATATCTCTCAGTTTTTGTTTTCACACGACACTCATTGCCACTATTTTAGTTCAATTCTGCTTTGGTTCTTACTTGAAATATACTGAGACTTTTTAAAACAGTCTTTCTATTCTAGCATTGTATTCTTCAGACTCATACTTTACACTTCAAATATCAAAAAGAGTGATATTGGTATAGCCAATTTAGACCATATTTCTACCAAGCTTTAAAGTTCTTAAGACTAGTTCCAGATATCTGGAGATGGTATCCTGGATGCTGAATGATCCTTTCTCTCCTTTCCTTTCCAGGCTAAAGACATTATTTTTTTACTCTTACACAGAAGTGCAGCTGGCATAATGAATACTTTAGTTCCTTGACTATTTTGTGCCTCTCTTTCCACCCTGTCAGGGACTTCATCTGCTTGGGTTCCTTTTTAATCTCATTTCCTAACTCCTAATCATACTTTAGAACTTGTCTTTATATGTGAACTACCACAGGAAACCTTTGTTGGTGTCCTCATTTCAAGGCTGAGATGATTGTGTCTCTCACATGGTCCCCCAGTTCACCTGTGTTTATACCGTTTTATTTAACATCATTCTGTTATAATTGTTTGTATATGTGGCTTCCCTTCAGTTACATTGTAATTTGTTTTATTTATTGCAGCCCCATTACCAAGCATAGAGTAGTTTGTGTGATTTTTACAAATTATTACTGCTATTATAGGCAACTAAGAAATATTTGTTTAACTAAATAGTAATAGAATGAGTGATTGAATGAATTCATTGGCAAACATTCACAAACCAATTTGAAGTGTGGTTTTAGGTTTGAGGTTTAAGCATACAGCTCAACACAGTTGTTATGTTTGATCAGGATAATGTTTTATAACAGGAAGGAAACAGCACTGACATTTTTTTTAAATGTAAATCTACATGAATTATGTAGTAAGCATTTTTTTAACAAGTTAGCCTTCCATATTGTCTTTATTTTTATATGACAATAACTAGAATAGAAATTCTTTAAATAAAAAAGTGTTGATGTATACTTAATTGCCACTGTATATTCTTTTATATTATTATTTTTGTTGTTGTTGGTTTAGATCTAAAAGGTTTTTTAGAATACCTTGATATTCTGAGTAATACATTAGATAAGTACTCAGTGTTACAGTGATTTACAGACTACCTGCTGTGTTCCAGACACTGTGTTGGACTTTTAATGTATATAATTGTATTAAACTCCCTTACCCAGAAAATATGAAATAGATATAATTCTCCCATTTTACAGATTGAGGAAGCAGAGTGATGTGGGTTCAAACTCAGGGCTCTGGTTTCCCCATGTGGGCTTAATCTATTCCCTTTTTCAATTTTATTTGATACTTGGGACAAATAAAGGTAAAGTCTTTCCTTGCTTCCCACTGATGTCTGCACTTAAGTAAACACAATATTGTGTTAGTATACTGTGCCCATAATACAATTTCTATAACTGAGATAATAAATTCCATGGTCAGAAGTGTACTAAGCAGAGGTGGAGGTTATGGAGGGATAGGGATGAACAATTCTAACAGTACTGATCAAAATTACATAAAACATGACAGAAAACATTTCATGTATATGTCACAGGCTTGGGACAAAGAATGTAAAGATACTGGGTTTAAGTTATAGAGTGAAGCAGCTTTAGTATTCCATGCCAGCAAAGGAGTAACACAGCTTTCAAATGGCACCAGATTCATGATAGTGCCAATATCATACAACTAATTTTAAAAAATTTTTCTAAAGAAACAACCAAACTCAAAAGCAGAAGTAACTGTGTATTTCATGTTTGCCACACTGCAGAGTTTTTTTCAAGAAAAATACATATATATTCTTAAATATATGTTCACAAATAAATATCTTGTTTTAGCATACAGTAAATGCTGTTCTACTTCACCATGAAAGATAAGGGAATACAATAGAAGAACAGAAGACTTATACTAAACTGATGTTGATGAGAGGAATTTAAATATAAGATCCTAAAATATGGGTGAAGGATTGAGGTAGAATGGTGCAGAAGTAAAAGTGTTTTGACTATAGAGTCAGTGAGACTCAATATTTGGACAAATTACCTGTTCAAGCTTCATATTCTTTGTCTAGAAGATGGGATGAATGCCAGTGTCTACCCAAGTGGGCTACTGTGAGAATTAAATGAGAAAATGAATTCATGTCTAGCTCTTAGTAAGAAATCCATCAAAGCCTGTAACTGGTAGTGGTGGTGTTCATGGTAATGTTTTGATCATGGTACTACTACCTCCAGAAACATGAAGATTATATGTTTTCAAAGAAGTCTGCATGTCTGGAAGCATCATAAGGTAGATTTCCATATCTGTGGAGTTTTAACTCCATTTTATTTGAAACCAGCCACTTTAGCCCAGACTGAGATTTGGGGATAACAGTCATTTGGGTTGGCTATAGGGTTTCATCAGCATGCATTTCCACTGTAAGAAGGAGTGAATTTACTTCAAAATTATATCATGTGTTCTGATTCCATTTTGGTAAGCAGAGAAATCTATAAATGCTTCCCTGCTTAGAGAACTGATTTGTTTCTGTTGAATTCCAAGTGTCAGATTATAAACAACTTCAGTCAATATCTACTGATCCCTTAAAATGGAATCAATAAAATTGCCTGTAACAAGCACATACTACTATGAATCAAAATAATCTTTCCCCCAAATAAAATCATGTTTACTGTGTTATATGATTCCCGGAACATGTTTTAAAGTAAGGGAATTAGGAAGTAGGAAGGATTATTTTTGGATTCTGTTAAGCTTAGTCATTAAAACAAAAACAAAGCACTCAGTTTTGCAGAATGAGCAAGTAGATTTACATTTTCTTTGTTTAATAGGCCTCCTGGCATTCTATATCAGAGTAGTTCAGAAATTCAGTTAATTTGATTTCAGTACTCAAAATTCTCATTCTTTTCTGAATTTAGCTGAACTCTTTTTTTAAACAAAATGGTTTTAAGTGAATGTGTTACAAGAAATATTTTGTAATAGGGATATTTCTGAATCTTGCATAAGAAATTTGCTTCAACTTCACCAATAATATCTTTTCCTATGGTTATATTCCTGTATGAATCCAAACTAAATATCACATTGAGAGGAGAAATACATTAAGGACTTTCATCATTACATCAAGCCACAGTGGTATGATGGAGAAAACTCATAGTTAAAATTGTGACTTAATTACTCAGAGCAAGGTTATTAACATTTTTGGGTCTCCTGCACCCCATCTGTAAAGTCCTACTTATTTCAAAGGCCATTAATTGTGAGGCTTAAATGAGATAATCCCCGTTAAATGCCAGCAAGGACTAAATGACACTTCTCATCTCTTTGGTATTTTTATTGAAAATCCTGCCAGCAACTTGAGGTTTCTTCTGTTTTATCCTGTCTATAATAAGTAGTAGTTGGCATTGGTATAGAGAAGAAATCTATATCTCTACTACAACTATTACAATAGCAAAGTTCTATACTACCACAACAAAATCCTACTAAATTAGAATAATTAGGGCTATTTGTTTTTGGCTGTTAATTCTTGGAGTCTAGAATGTTTTATGAGAATTGGAATTTAAAGTGTTAAAAAGTATAGTAGTGCATAGAAACTGTAGAAGATGTCATGTACTACTTTCTGCTTTAATGAATGGGTAGCTTTGATTACCGATTATTGTATGTTAATATAGTTCACAAATTATTTTGGAATAGAGCTGTTTCCTTACCTCCTTATCATTTTTCCCTTCAATATCTCACTACAGCTATTTTAAAAAAAAGATCTTAATTCCAGCTAACTGATTCCAACTAATGAATTACTGGAATCTGAATTAAAAATTTTTTAATTATTATTTGTTTTATAATTTGAAATCATTGTTTCAAAATGAAAGTTGTATTTTAGCTATGATATTTTTTTAGCCAGGGACCCAAATTATTTTCTCTTTTCTTCCTTGCTAGAATATGTTAGTATCCTGGGAACATCTACAACGAATGTCTAGAAACATGTCTCTTTTTCTATTTTTTCTTTCCTTTTTTCCTTTCATGTTCACTTTTTCTTTTCATCTTTAAATGGTGTATTACTTCTGATCTTATCTTCTTAAACAGTGATCTTATGAAGACAGTAGTATCTATAGAGACAGAAAAATAAATTAAAAGGAATCTAAGAATTTTTCCCTTTTAAGTTTTTTTGTGAGCCTGAAATAATTTCAACATTTCTCTGAATTAGGAAATTTCTAAATGTTGTTATTTATACTAATATTTTTAAAGGAACAATTAGATCACTTAAGGAATTTTCCTCTGGCTAATGTATAAGGACTAGAATTCAGGATGTAAAATAATAGAATAATTGATTAAAAGCTGTGGTCTTTACTCCTTAAGCATATTCTGGTCAGTTTTAAATTATATAGGGACATAAAAATTTTCAGAAATTCTTCAGTTTCTAATTTATTTTTAATTATTATTTTATTTTTCTTTCAGAACTCTTGATGTTTCAGTAAGCTTTAATGGAGGAAAATCTATCATTTCAAGCACACTAATAGTCACAGCCACAGAATGTGTAAGTAAAAAGCTAGTTGTTTTTTAAAAATACTCTTATCCAGAAATAATTTATGGAGCCTGGGCATTGTTGTACACTACAATATAGAAGGCACAGACAAGTACATTGGAAGACCATGAAATTGACATAAAATTTATTTTAGGTTGTTTAGAATTTCTGTTTGATTCCCTTTTAAGGGAATTTTAAGAGAGTATAACATTTGAATTGATATATATAAAATTCAAAAGTCATTTAAAATTAAGATAAGAGAATAAAAAAATGAAGCATTTTTTCCTTAGAAAATTAAAAAGGGAATTGACAGTTTTTCTGTTTGAGGTTAGAATTTAGTAGCTGTTTATCATATTTTAAAATCCTTAGTGCACTTAATGGGTGACTTTATTATTATTATTATTTTAGTTGTCAATGGAACTTTATTTAATTTATTTATTTATAAGTAGTGCTGAGAATCAAACCCGATACCTCACACATGGCAGGCAAGCACTCTACCACGGAGCCACAATCCCAGCCCGACTTCATTATTTTATCCATCTTAAAAGTTAGTGTTTTCTAATATGGTAGCTTGATAATATCTTAGTTTGAAACTATCATTGAGATTATGAATTTATGTTGAAATGCAAACATAATAGTTAATTTTGTGCATTTATAGAAAGATTTGACATTATATTGTTGAACATGAAAATAGGAAGCTCTAAATTAGACTGACTCCCTGGCTATTATTTTTAAGAGTACTTTTTCTTTGTAAAGAATATAAATCAAATCCAAGGTCTAAATGTTCTGATACATAGATGCTAACCCACAGCAAAGGAGGATGGGGAGGGGAAGAATAGAAGTTCATTGGATTATACAAAGGGGAGTGAAGGAAAAGGAGGGGGGATGGGAATAGGAAAAACAGTGGAATGAATAGGTCCTAACTCTCCTTTACTCATATATGAATACATGACCAGTGTAACTCTACATTATATACATCCACAAGAATGGGATCCTAATTGGAATGGGTTATACTCCAAGTATGTATGTCAAAATACACTCTACTGTTATGTACATCAAAAAACAATAACAACAACAATGTGTGTGTGTGCATGTATGAAAAAAATGAAAAATTTCTGCCTTCCAAAAGACTACAATCCCAAATTTAAAATTTTCTTATAGATCTTATGGTTTTGTGGCCTTATATTTTTATATAGTAACTCAGGAGATATCCTTCCTCTAGGAACACAGTAAAACAATTGAATGCTATCTGTGTAGAGGTGGTTGTGCTTCTCATTGTACAACAGCATTTCAGGAAAAAACTATCATGTAGTTGGAAACTTGGGCCACTTTGGAACTCCCTGAATGGCTTTGTTGACATTTTTTTTTCTGTTTTGAAAATATTAGATTTGTTTAAAGTTGTTTCCCCCCCCCCTTCATCTGTAATGTGTTTTGCAATTTGTAAGTTTTGTGGATGTTGCAATTTTTAGGTTTTCTGGCTTTTCAGGATGTGGTTGGTTGAAGTTACAAATATTTGTACTGTGTAGTTTCTCAGTGCTTAGCTTCAGAAATGGCATTCTTTCTCTATCCATCTTCTTATTCTGCACCTCCAGCTATTTTAGGGAAATGGGTTTATGCTCCTGCTTTATAACCAGGTACTAGTTCCATGTGCAGGGATGCTGAGGCTGAATGATTCATTGAAATTTATTGGTTGATAATAAGAAAAGTGTATCCAGGTCTTCCTAGGTCTCAGGAGGGTATTATGACATGAGGTAGTCTTTGTTTCAGAAGAAGGAAGCTTGGTTGTGTCAGAGATAGGGAGAAGGTGAAGGGGCAAGTTGCCATATTAAATAGGGGTCAAGGTGATTCTCACTGAGAAGGTAAGATTTGAGCCAAGACTTGAGGAAGGAAAGGAAGTGAGCCCCAAAGACCATCTGATGGACAAGTGTTCCACAGAGCACTTAGAACCATGTCTGATGTGGGACTATATCTGGAAGTTTAAAAAATAGCTAGGCAATCAGAATGGTGGAGTGGAGGTGAAAGGAAGAGAGTAAGAATCTCAGGATGAGGAGAGAGAGATGGGAGGGTGTAAAGCAGGTGGGAGAATGAGTCATTAAAAGGAGTTGAACTTTCTCCAGGGAAACAGGGAGGCATGATTTAATAGGATTTGAATTAACACTGTAAAAAGATCACTCTGGCTGCTGTGTGAAAATGGGCTTTACTGGTGGGGACAAAATGGAAACATTGAGCTCAACTCTGTGGCTGTTTTAATAATCCAGGAGCTGGGAAGAGAGGTAGATGGCCCCATTGGAATGAAAACAGTGGAGGTGGGAAGAAGTAGTTGAATTTGGGATTTTTTTTTTTTTTTTGGTGGTGCCAGGGATTGAACCCAGGGCCTGTGCAACTGAACTATATCTCTAGCTCCAAACTTGAATGTATTTTAAAGGTAGATCTTTTGGAATGCCTCGACAGGTTAGATGTGGGGTGTGAAAGCAAAAAAACACATTAAGAATAACACTAAGCTTTTTTGCCTGCAGCCAGAAGGATGCATTGCCATCAGATAGAGGCAGTTTCTGGAAGATGAGGAGTTCCATTTTGGTACTGTTGAGTGGCAGATATGTATGAGATAGCTAAGTATATATGTGAGAGAGACCTCTGAATACATAAGTCACATGCTTTAGAGAAGGGTCTGGATTGGTGGTATGATCTTGGGAGTTAGAGACAGTGGGTGGAATGAAATAGGTAACAACATTTCACATAATACTTATTGGGGGAAACAAGTGGCTTTCAGGAAGTTAGAGCAGGAGAAGGAAGAGTACCAGAGAAAGATTTTGGTTTTATGGAGGAAGCAAGACAAACTGGTTCATAAAGGGACAGGATATAAGTAAGAAGAGAGGACAGGAAACACGTTACAGAGAAAGAATAAACAGGGTATGTGTGGAAGAATTGAGAGCAGAGATATTTAGTCAGAGTGGAAATAAGTGGAAGGAAAAATTGGAAATGGGAAATTTAGACTAGATCATCAGTAACCTAAAACACCACACAGAGTTTGGACAGAATCCTACAGGCCTATAGTACCCAGAATCTACTGTACAGAAATGTCAATGCTGAAATTTAAAAAAAAAAAAAAAGGTTTTTTTTTCATAAAGCTGGATTTACTCAATGTGAAGGAACTCTTTATTCTGAAAATTTTCTTCCTCTAATTTAAAAATATCATTTGATTTGGGTAACAACCATAGTGATTTGTCAGTATCAACTTCCCTTTCTTCTTTCCTTCCCTTTATCCTTTTTTCCTTCCCTCTCTTTCTTCATTCTATCTTCTCCTTCTTTTCCTCATATTCCTCTTCCTCTTCTTCCTGTATATTTTGCAGAATGCTGAGCCAGTAAGACTGTATGAGAGGCTCCATTAATTTTTTTTTAGGTTTACTGTCTTGAAAAATCATAAAATCTGACCTCAGTAGATAACAGTGTCTTTTTAAAAGGCTTCAGACATGAATGTGATGGCAGCATCTATTTTGGGAAGATTCCATTAGTAGTGGCCTGCAAGAAAGTTAGAATGGAAAGAAAACAAAGCACAGAAAAAAGCTTTTAGGAGACAAGTGCTGGAATTTAGGCATAAAACTTTGGGTTCTGAGTTTACTTATGGTGGTAGAAACAGTACTAGAAACAATAATAGAAGTTGTGTTAATGAAGAAATACATATTATAAAGTGTCTTACGGGTTTGGAATGGAGTGACTCATTCCAAAATATTGCATCTCATGGTGTGAAAGAATAATACTATCTTTGGAAATATCTAAAACCAGCTGATCTTGAGATGAAGAGAATTTTTATTGTAGGTAATGCTGGATTAGGAAGGTTGGCAATGTCCAATGGGTAATTGTAGATATAACCTCAAGTTCTCTGAGAAGCATCAGGACTGGAGATCAGCATTTAGGTTTCACTGTTGTTGAGGACAGGAAAAGGAAGAAAGATGGGAGAAATTAGGGTTAATGGAATTTTGAAATAGGAGGAATATGTACAAACACAAATTGTACTGGACAAAAGGAAGCAAACGAGGAAGATATTGTTCAAGACTACTGGAAGAGGAAAGAGAGATTAAATGGAACTCTGTTGAAGCCAATGGCTGGAGAATTTTTAAGAGCTCTAGTGGGGGAAATTGTGGGCTACCTCTGGGCTAATTTGTCTTAATTAAAGAAAAAATAAGTTTTCTCCTGCTTTCCTGGCAGGAGGTAGTGCTGAAATGTAGAGCAAGGTGCCTACTGATGTTATAGATTCCTACCTTCTTCCTCCTCTGAAGTGGTATCTTCCTTGATGACTTTTCAAAAGAATGGCTTCCAGGTCCCCAAAAAGACATCCCTCCAGGGTCTAAAACTGGCAAGAGGCTTTTTTTTTTTTTTTTTTTTTGGTACTAGTAATTTAACTCAGGGGTACTTTGCCACTGAGCTCCATCCCACAGCTTCTTTTTCTTTTTTATTTTGAGGCAGGGTTTCACTGCTGAGGGCCACTCTATGCTGCTGAGGCTGACCTTGAACTTGAAATCCTCCTATCTCAGCTTCCTGAGTCACTGGGATTACAGGTGTGCACCACTGTGCCCAGATTTCCAGAGGCTCTTAATGAGATCCATAAGCATTTCAAACTTGAAAATACAAATTTTCTAAAGTAAGATTCTTCCAGAAAAGGGAGATCACAGGCCCACAGTCAGGAACAAATTGGATCAGATTAAACTTTAAAGATTAATCAGGCTGAGGTGACAGGTAAGTTCATCTTGGTTGGTAGAATAAATGAAGAAGTGACAGAGAAGGTACAATGCAGGACATCAAGATATGGGAAAATCAGAACCTGTATCAAATAGAGAAGAATAAGGAAGATAGTATCCCAACATAAAGAGAAGCCAGCAGTAGGTGCCTGTGTAAGGTCACCAAGACCAGGACTGAGAAATCTGAGGGGTCACCAGGGACCTCCCTCCACCTTCACCTGAGGACCTAAAGCCTGCCTTTTTTTTGTGATTTTTATGATTATACTAATGATTTCA